GAGGAGAGACAGAGAACCCCTGAGTCCTTTGCCTCTTAAACCAAAATACAAATGCTTCTTTGTGTCTCAAGCTTCATGGGGACAATCAGTGACTCTCAGGATTGTGACTGTAATTAGGGTGATTTTCATGTGCTAAGCTGGTCACCAGAATATTCTAAACCAGTGATTACAGCCTGGTGCTAGTGGGCCTGCAGAGTTTTATTTGACTGCAGTAGTGCATTTCTGTTAACACTTTACGAGATGTAATTCACATGCCATCCACGTAGGACTCAAATGATGTATAGCATATTCAGTCACACAACCATCCTCAGTTTTGAATCATTTTCACCAACCCCCAAAGATTCCAAAGCCGAGAGCAGTCACCCTCGCTTTGCCTCCCCCTAGCCCCGGGTGACCATGAATGTACTTTCTCTTATCTAACTTTGCCCAGTCGAGGCATTTCACATATGTAAAATCACACCACATGTGACCCTTGACGACGCCTTTCACTTAGCATGCTTTCAGAAGTCCTCCTTATTGTGCCATGTGTTGCTACTTCACTCTTTTTATAGCTGGATAATATTCCATCGTACAGAGGCGTTACCTTCTGTATTTTTCTCTTCAGTTCACGGACAGAGTTTTTCCAGTTTTCGGCTAGCATAAATAATACTGCAATGAACATCTGTGTACAAGTTTTTGTGTGGATGTATGTCATTTCTCTTGAGGATATATTTAAGAGATTTGTTAGGTCATACGATAACTCTAAATTTAACATTTTAAGGAAGTGCCAGACAGCAGAACAGTCATTTCTTAAATATGATTTTGAATGCTAAGCACATAGAAACGCTCAGATTACCACAGCATCTCCAGACAGATTCCTCAGGATTTGCTTGTGGCCCACTTTAAACCTATAAGCCTACCAATTAATTCTGGGCAACAGAAATATTTTCAGGATCAACACAAACTTTTCAAGAAAGAGCAGTGTTCAAAGTTACAGAATCTGACTATAAAGCAGTGAGCCATAAGGTCCCCAGGATTTCACTGCAATGAACTGAACTAATATGCTGAACAGGATTTCTATTTCCAGGCTGTCTCGGTGAGAGAGAGCAATTTAGGTCCACGGAATGAAAAGTATGTGCTCAGACGAAGGATTCTGGAGTTGTTTTGTTTTTTAATAGTAGGACTTAAAGGGACATTCAAAAAGAACATCCTTACCTCTTGTTCCTCAAAAATGGGCTGGTATTTCTCAAGTGATAACTTCTTAAGGATTCCAGTCAGTTCATCTTCAATTGAGAAAGATTTGAAAAAACACGTTAGGATGTTATAAGGTATCAAAAGCCACGTTCAGACTTTTAGAAAATAATGACCACTTTATTTTAAACGAGGCCCAAAGAAAACTTCAACATACATAGCAGATCTACCCTGTGCCCCTGTGGGCGAGGCCGCAGGTGGTCCTGAGCTACCTGTCAGCCGTGTCCTCCCCACACCAGCACATGCCCTTGGCACGGCAGCCCCAAACCTGCAGCCACTGAGACCTTGGAGCTCTGGCTGCTGGGACTAACACATTGCCTCCTTCTGTGAAAGGCTACAGCATCACGGTCAACACCAAGACCCTGGAGTTCTGTGCCTGAGAAAAAAGGCAGAGGAGCAGCTGGGCTGCAGAGTGGAGTCAGCTGGGCTGCAGAGTAGAGACACCTGGGCTCAGCGTGAAGCGGCAGGGCCTCCAGGAAGGAAAGAAGGAAGAAAGGAAGGAAGGAAGGAAGGGAGGGAGGACAGATGAATGGACATGAGTCCTGTAGGGGAGCCAGAGGGCACAGACCAGGGGCACATGTGCAGAATCAGCTGGCAGGATAGACAAGGAGACAAGGCACATGTGTGTGTGTGTGTGTGTGTGTGTGTGTGTGTGTGTATGTGTGTGTGTGTGTGTGTGTGTGTGCTGGGAGTGTGCTGAGGACACACACATTCCAGACTCAGTACTGGGGGCTCAACAGGGACCCAAACAGATGGCAGAGGCTGCTGAACCACAGGCAGCAATGAAGGAGACAGTGGGGTGGGGACAGGCGACAGAGGGCGGAAGGATGCTGCTCTGCAGAGGGTGATCAGTGAAGGTCTCCCTTGTCAGGTGACATCTGAGCAGTAATAAGGAACAGGCTCCATAGCTAGCCCAAGGAAGAGAAGCGGCACCCAAAGAGGGAACAGGAGGGGCGGAGGTCCTGAGGCAGTGGATGCGCTCCAAGAAGCCATGAGATCTGCTTCCTTCTTTCATTCACTCACACTCAGCAGTGGCTCCCAGGATGTCTGCTGCCTGCTGGGAGTGCCAGGGCCCAGAGACCCTGTGGAGAACTTGGTGGGCTCGGTCAACAGAACCACAGTCTGAGCCAAACACGTGGTGCTGGCCATTGGGCATCCTCTACATGGCCGATTCCTTTCCTCCTTATCTCAACTACAGGAGATAGATACTGCTGCTGTTCTCATTTGCAGAAGGTGAAGGGCGCAGAGAGGATGCACCTGAGTTTTGGGTGAGGGGGCACTGCTAGGCCCTGGCAAGGCAGGGACTGAGACCCAGTGGTCTGGTTTTCTGGCCAGGTTGCTGCTCTGCTGCATCTGTCATGGCGACACATGCTATGGTGAAGAGGAAGGACATGGGGCTGTAGGACAGAGGACAGCTGGCAACTGCGGATAGCTTCACAAAAGGATGCATCTGAGAAATCAACTCCAACCTACATTTAGCCCGTGGTACTTCCACAGGGGCAAACCTCGCTCCGCTGCCCCTTGGCTCATGGTTCCTCTGCAGTGGTGTGCAGGAGGGTGTCTGACCCTTGGCTGTGTGGGTAATTACACATGTGTACAGAGGTACTCAAGTCTACTGCAGACCTGAATGATATGCAGAGGTAGAGTACACTGGAGAAATAAAATAGGTATACGCCTTACTGTAGGTTCCACAGAACCAGCTAAACCTCACCAAGTGCTTTCAACTGATTTCTGTCTGCTCTTGCATTCACGGCCAAGGAGGGCAGTTTGAAGGAATGCTGCTCAACTGCTTTGTTTACACAAACAAAAAAGAAAAAATGAGTCACTAAAGACATAAGTTGCAAGTCCATGTGAGCAACGTGGCTGAACTGGATTATGCTTTTCACGCACTGGACAAATTCTTTCTCACTTGTGCTATTATTGTGAAATGGCTACAGACATGACAAACTCTTAAATTTAACCCTCATTATTAACATTTTGACCTTTTATTGTTTGGATCATGTCTAAACAATCTATAAAACAATCATACTAAGTCACCACCTGATTGGTGGTGTTGCCAACTTCTGTGGCATGAATACCCCCACTGCAGCCCACTGGAGCCCACCTCCATAATGCCCCGAGTGAACCTGGTGAGAGCTGGACAGCAGCACCACATCACAGCATACCCAGGGCTCTCACTGCAAGTGGGAGGTGGAAACAGCCTCATGACACAGGCAATAAGCAAGCACACCAAGGAGCTGCTGAAGAACACATTTTCTAAAACCACAATACACACATATACTTTATACTTTGATCAACTCTTAAGTTTGTATCATTTGACTTTTAATAATCACTCTGTCATTTCCTGTACACTTAACAACCAGTTCTGATACATGCAGCCCTATCCCTTCCCAGCCCTTGTGGTCCCACACAATCGATGCTTTTCCTGGGGGTCTTGCGGGGGACACTAAGCTCCACTGATGGCACAAGTCTGACTGCCACTGTGAAGCTAAATGGCTAAGTCGTCCTCACACCTGTCACAAGTGGCAACACCTGCTGACTGCCGCAGCGCTGCTATGGGTGCGTGTTTGTGCACACAAATGAAACTCAACCTGCATTCACACACAATTCACAGGAACTTACCGAATCTTCAGCAAGTTGAAGACAAAAATACAAGACAATCAGGGAAGGGGAGAGACATAGCTTGACCTAGCAATGAGGGCAACAGGTGGCTCTGTGCTGCCGGGCCATCACGTGAGGGAAGAGCTGGGCCTCGGGAAACGCCCACGCCCACCCCACACTCACCCTCATCTGTGATGGTGCCACTGCTGGAGCCCCCACTGCTCTTAGACTGTCGATGGGAAGAGGAGGAGGACACCGAGGACTCCGCAGTGTGGCCCTTAGGTGAAGGGGAGGGTGTGAGGGTAGGGGAGGTGCTTTTGGAGGTAGTGGAAGTTCCAGATGGAGGCCGTGCATTGGTCTCCAATTTCTGCAGAAGAAAATCAGACAAATGAATACACGTGCCATCACCCGGAGGGTATAAGGATGTGAACAGATGCTACCATAAGGAGCATGGGTGGCATCTGACGCAACAGGCTGTCTAGGAGGACTCTAAAATCTACTCCACATGCATGCAAAGAGAAACAGTTACAGGAAAATCCACCCTGAAGCAGAGAGACACATGGAGTACCAAGAGGTATTCAAGATCTAGGAAACCTAGGTGTCAGCCCTGCCCCTTTGCTATGAGAACTAGCTGTAGACTTTGTATGTTAGCAATGCTGGGCCTCCCAGCCCTCCATTTATTTAAACTTCTGTTGATGAGCATTTTGTAGTTTTCAACCTGTAGATTTTGCATCTTTAAATAAATTTATTCCTAGGTTATTTCATTTTTATAATTTTTTATGTTTCAAATATATTGTATTTTTATTATTACTTTATATTTTTTGAAAAAGTTAACTAAGAATATTCTAACTGAAAGGCTGGCAAGATAGCTCAGTGCACCTGCCTAGCAAGTGCAAGGACCTGGGTTCGATCCCCTGTACCACACGCCACACTGGTCCCTCCGCTGGTTGCGTTGAGCTGGCCACCGAGACCAGGCATGGTGGTGCACGCCTGTAATCCTAGTTCTGGGGAGGCTAAAAACAGGAGGATCACTGCAAGTATGACCTGCGTAGTGAGACCATGTACCAAATACATAAGTACATAAATAAGAATATGTGAACTGTTACTCATTGCTAGTACTAAGAAGTACAACTGATGTTTTTATATTTTGAGTTTGTAACCTGTAACCTTGCCGAACTCACCTATCAGTCATAGCTGTTTTGGTGCAGATCTGAAGTCTTCACATAAATGAACGTATCAGCTAAGAATAGAAAGAGCTCCACTTCTTCCTTCCCACTCCGTATGCCTTTTTTTTTTTTTTTTTTTTCTTCCTGGCCTATTATAGTAACTAGATTCGGACGCATGAGCTGGAGGTAAGGGATGACATTCGTGCTCCTGACCTTAGTGGAAAGGACTTGACCAAGCATGATGCCACTAACAGGTACTTACACCAAAGTCAAGAGGTTACGCTCACTTCCTAGTTTGCTGTTAGTTTTTATCATGAATAGAAACTGAATTTTGTTAAGTGATTTCCCTGCATTATCCTGTAGTGGGTGCCTTGTCTGAGTTTCTGCTGCTGAGCCAGACTTGCACTTTGGGGCTAAGCCCCACTTTATTAGAATGCATTGCCCTTCTTATTTATCATGAAATCTGCATCACTAAAATTTTATGGAAGATCTTTATGTTCATGAGAGTTACTGATCTGTCATGTTCTTTCTTATTATATCATAAAAACACATTCTTGTTCCCAAACTGAGGGGCTAAGGGGGGCATTTCCTCACGATACAGGGATCACTAAAATGCAATAGTCCCAAATGCATATAATACTTCAAAAGAAGTGAGGCAAAAACCAATAGATCTGAAAAGAGAAATAAACTAATACATAGTTACAGTTAGAAATTTTAATGGTCCTCTCTTAGCAATTTATAGAAAAAGTAGACAGAAAATTAGAATATTGACTACCTGGCCAACACCATCAGTTAACCAGGCCTAATGGACATTTACTGACAGTTATAGAATCTCCCTTTTCCAACCATAATAAAATAACTCTTTTCTCAGGTGTGTGTGAGATTCACAGATGAGAGGATAAAATAGAATTCAATACACTTGACGGAATGGAATAGAATTATAGTAGAACTGAATTAGGAATAGAAAAATTTATGGAAAATTCACAAATTATTGCAAAAGACACAATATACTTCTAAATAACAGGCCAAAGACAAAAGTCTCAAAGGAAGTTAAAAAAATATTTTAACAACCCTAGGATGCAAGAAAAAAAAACACGGGTAAATTTATAGCATTAAACGCTTGTTTTAAGGAACAAAAGCTGTCTAAAGAGTAATGCAAGCTTCTAGTATGAGAAACTACAGAAAGAAGGTAAAACTCAAAGCAAGTAAGGAAAGGAATCACGCGCAACAGAAATCAATGAAATTGGCTGGGTGTGGTGGCGCACACCTGTAACCCCAGCATTCAGGAGGCTGAGACAGGAGGACCACCGTGAGTTTAAGGACAGCCTGAACTACATAGGTGAGTTCAAGGCCAGCCTGCACTATATGGTAAGACTCTTATCTAAAAAGAAATCAATAAAATTGAAGACAGAAAAATCAATGGAACCAAAAGTGGTCCTCCAGAAACATCAATAAGACAAACTTTTAGCTAGGCTGACCAAGAGAAAAAGAGATATTACAAATTACTAATGTACAAAAAAGGAGACATTCTTATTCACCCCATATGTTAGAATAATAAAGACCAAAAGCTCTGCATCACAAATTCAACAATTTAGATAAAATGCATAATTCCTTGAATGATAACAAAACACAAAGCTCGCTCAAGAAAAAACAAATAGCCTGAATAGTCCTACATGTATAAAGAAACTTAATAAAAATTTTGTTGAGTTAAAACTGCCTATAAGAAAACAGTGGGTCCACGTGGTTTCACCAACAAATCTTACCAAACATTTAGGATTAAATAATACCAATTGTACATAACATCTTCCAGAAAAATAGGACAGGAGATAATCCTCCCAATTAATTTTATGAGCTGGCATAACTCAACTTTTCCCTTCAGTGCTTTAAAGTTGTCATGACTTTGTTTTGCATAGTTTCAGACAGAAAGTCTGCTATAATTCTTATTTTTCTCTCTTGGTATATAATTTCTTTTTTTCCCCTGGTAGCTTTCAAGATTTTTCTATTGCTTCCTTCTTAGTAGTTTAAACATAATATGGCTAGGTTATTCTTTTTTATATTTTCCTATTTATTGCTCTCTGCAATTTCTGGGTCTATGAATGTTCCAACTGCCACTAACTTGAGAAAATTCTAAGCCATGACTTCTCTAAATATTTACTCTCTCCTTCGCTCCTCCTTCCCTCTCTCCTCTCCCCTTCCTCTCCTCTCCTCTCTCCCTTTGTTCTCTCTCCTTCTCTCCCTCCCTCCCCCTCTCTACCTGCTTCCAGAGCTTCCAATTATCTATATGTCAAGCATTACCCTACAAGTTTTAAGGGCTCTGGATTTTTTCTTTAAGCTTCTTTGTGTTTCAACCGGGGTAATTTCTATAGCTTCAAGTTCACAGATTCTTTCCTTGGCTGTGTCAAGTGTGAGAAGTCTGTCAAAGGCGTTCTTCATCTCTTTCACTGCTTTTTACTCCTGGCATTTCCACTTGATCCTTTACTGCTAAAGGATCTCTCTACTAAAACAGCTAGTCATACACCTTTGTGTGTTCACATTTTCCACTACAGCCTTTAACATCTTAGTTTTAGTTATTTTACATTCCCTGTCTGATAATTCTAAATACCTGAGCCATACCTAGTTTGATTCTCATGACTGCTCTGCTTCTTGGGAATGTGGATTTTCTTGCCTTTTTATTTATCTTCTAATTCCTGTTAACAATTGGAAATCTTGTGCAGCATAGTAGAGACTGAGCTAAACCACTGTTACATCTAGAAATGAATATGCCCTTCCTTTTACTAGGTCTTTAATGCTCCCTTTTGCTAACTCTACCCCAGTGTGTAGAAAAAGAAGTCCATCCCTAAGGTTTTGAAAGATTTTGTTAACAAGCTGCCTATACCTTTAAACATTCTTCCCTTTACTGCCTACAAATAAATTCCAACCAGAGCTGCTGATTGATCAGGAAACAACTGGTACACCGCTGGAAAACAGATCTCTCCTGACCAGAAGCAAAGAGATCTAATATACTGAGCCTTGTGGATACTCCTGGGGAAAAGAGGGGTAAATGTAAGATTCTCTGGGGCTCTCTGAAACACTCCAATTGTCCTCCACATCCCAGGGCAGAGGACCCGCTGCTCTGGGGGTGTCCTTTCCACATTTCACTCACTCTGGGCCACACACTCTGCTGTGCCACTCTGGGTGCTACCTGGCTCTCTGTGCTTCCAAAAGCTGAACTGGTTTTCAACCCAGGCTTTTAGGTACTTTCAGAACATGTCAGCCAGTTCAGCCATCAGCCAGCCAGACGTGGATCCGCCAGATTGGAAACTGTCCAGCAAAGTTCTCAATAACTTATACACCCGCAGGTACACAAGCCAAAGAAAGGCTGCTTGCTTGAAAGCACTGAGTTTTAGCTGGGAGAAGGAAGCTGGAACCTTTCACTAGGGGGCCTGCGGGTCCTCTGGAGACCACGAGTGGTAGTGTGCTACCCCTCCACCCTTTCAGCATCTCCAGCACTCCTTCACACTTTCAACACGAAGAAGCCGACATCAGGCATGCCACCACTGCAGTGAGCCACTGTTCTTAAGCAAAGCACGAAGACCAGGTTCAGAGGCTCATATTTTGAAGACTAATTTCTAATTCTTCCTAAGGGAGCCTTTGATGGCACTTCATGTCTCCATTTACTGCTCCAGCCTGTGACAGAAAGCCCACTTCTATGTCCTTTGATTTAGGGCAGCGGTTTCTAAGAGCTCTGGGCTGGGCTGGCTGTAATAGATTCTCTATGGGGAAAAATGATTCCCTGCACCCTACGCTGAGAGCCTCAGTCAGTTACTCTGGGTGGAGCCCAGAAGCATTATTAAACATCTCCCAAGGTCACAGCAGAGCAGTATGCTAAGAGTATCAGGTGATCACTGAAAAGGATCATTGCCCCAGTTTATTACTTCCTGAATGCATCTTTTAGCAGTCAATTTCCTTTCATCAGAAAACACATGTATGTAGGTTACACGATAGATATGCCCAAGCTAGGTGCTAGTTAATATAATTTATAACTCAGATGCCTATTTCCAACACCAACTAAAGTAAAAGGAGCTAATAATATCTACTTCATCTAATAAGATCATCAGAATAGAAACAGAACATTTGAAACAACAGAAAAACTATCTCAAAAGCCCCAGGCTAGCAGACTTACTTTAATGAGTAGCAGTGAGTTTCCTAGCAGCAAATACAAAAAGAGAAATACAATAATTATTTAAGTTCTTATTGATAAAAGACAATATATTACAGTATCAGTAGAGACTTTTTTCTACAGCTGGATTCTCAAAGGGACTTAATTGTGTGGGTCCTTTACATACACAATCTTGAACAGAGTGGAAATTAAGCTAATGAATTGGGAGAGAAAAATATTTTCTGAAGCTAAAATTGTCCAAGAAACTTAACTATGGATATGCTACAGCATAAGAACTTTGAACAAACAGGAAGTTGTGAAACCAGCGGTGGTTGGGCAGATAATAAGACTATTTTGCACAGCCAGTAAAACATAAATCCAGACAATGCAGTTAGTGGAAGAGCACTTGCTTGGACGAGAAGGCCCCGAGCTCCTTCCCCGGCACCTCGTAAACACAAAACCCTGAAGACCCTGGAGGGGCTCCTGCCATGGGCATGGTCACAGGGTAAACTGCCTGTCACTAGCTCTTCTCAAGGAGCACATTCAGGCTATCTAGGAGGCACGACGAAGACGGAGGTACGTCTGGGGTTGGGGTGCTCTCAGAGGAGGAAACCACCTGTACTGCACTTTTGAGGAGCGTTTGCGGAGCCCCATGGTGGAGAATAAGGGCTCAGGGCTCTCTCCATCAATTACCAGGGAAGAGGAGAAGATCCTCAGGCCACTAAAAGACGCCCATCCAGAGAGGCACTCAGGGTTGCTACGTCCCTTTGCACCCGCCATAGACACTGACAATGCAATGATATTCCTAGGTTGCATTAACAGTGGCATAGTAGTCAGAAGCAGGGAGGTCAGACTGGCTATCTGCCCTAACTGCTGCCAGCTCCTCCCCTGTTCCATACCCTCACTTTTGGAGCCCAGGCAAGCAGTGGCCCTGCCTACAATAGCCTCCTAATAACCCCCTGCCCACCTACTCCCTTCACCTGGCTCCTTGTCTACTCCCTCTTCACCCTGGATGTGGCTGACAGCCTTGAGTATTCACAGCATCCTCCTCTGCCCATGAGAACCCTTCCCATGCCGAGGTGGGTCTTGCCTGTGTCCGCTGTGACCTCATGAAGGTGGTCACTAAATCAGCACTCCATAGCCAGATCCCTACTGCTAGTGCCAGGCACAGGAAGACCCTCTGGAGATGCCCCAGTGGATGGGTAAGGTGGTGCTCCCAGTCCCTGCGCTCTGCTCAGACAAATTTTCAAGACCACTAGAAGGAACCAACACAGAACAGGCACCTTGGTGCTGGGAAGGCTGCTGCCCACAGGAGAGACTGGAAGCTCAGAGGGGCTGGGCCCTGGTATGGGGCCCACAGGACTTGACCGCCGGCTGGGCTTCTGTTCAGATAATCCTGCTGCTTTCTTCCTCTGGGCAGCGATCTGGGACAAGACGCTGTCCACACTGCCACCTAAGACAACAGAAACAGGAATAATCACCACAGGCTGAGTACTTCCTGCCACACAGGCAGGCGACAGCTACTGTGCACTGGCTTGACTGGACTTGGCCTCACAGGCACCCCGGTCCAGAGCAGCTCAGGATCAGGCTGACCACAGAAGAGTCCCCACAAAGGCCAGACGGTAGCCAGGGCTATGGCCACAACACTGCAAGGCCATCATGGTAAGAGGCTGGGAGGGAGGCAGGCGGGTAAAGTCCAGTGTGGGCTTGCATTTCCCTATACCACCTTGTCAATAAAAATTCCCAACTCCAGGATACACAGTGACCTGCTTTCTTGATTGTGTCCTGATTGCCATTTTCCCTGTTTCCCTGCACTACTGGTAACCTTCAGTGATCAGGGAAGACAGAGAAAGTATAATACCCAGGTGGGATACTCAGGGGAGGCCACTAACAGCTGCTACTTATGGAGCATTAACTAAGTGCCAGGCACCGCAGCAAATACTTTACGTTCATAAACAGAAAGCCTTCCAGAAGGCAAAGCACACTCAAAGCCTCAGACATGGGCAAGCCTCCTGACCCCAAGTTGGATGCTAGGGCACTTATGCTAAGGAAATCACCGAACAAACAAAGGTGGAAGCAGGAAGGTGTCACTCAGTGGCATCATCCACGAAGGCAAGGACTGGCCATGCAAGTGGTGATGCCTCCTGTGAGCACAGTGCTAGCCTCTTACTAAACAGCTTTACACACGTGGTCATCAGCACAGGAAGGTGCTCACAGCCCTGTACAATGTGGGGGAAAGGAGCGGGGCAGCTCAAAGAGCAGCCTACAGCTCAGGAAACTGTGTGGCTACGAGAATGGCTCTGCAGTTCAGGTCCTGGCCCGGCAACAGAGGCGCTGTGTGACCTCGGGTGAGTTCTCTGACTGTCCTGAGCTCCAATTTCCTTGTTTGTAAAATGAAGATGATAAACCTGCAGGTTGTCAGCAGCCTGAGATTTTTTCTTTAAATGGCCTGGCAATGTGCCTGGCATAGTGCACAGTACATTATTATTCTTTTATAAATATTCAGAATATGCATAAGAATAGCTTGCAAGGACATACACTAAAATGTTAATGCTGGCCCCTAGTGGGACAAACTGCAGCTTTTTCGGTCAGTTGCCGGGCTCATCTGTTCTTAAGGCTGTTCCACCAGAATCTGCAGCCTTAGCAAAGCACAGCACAGGGCCCTTCCTGCCATGCTGGCTCTGGCCATCCCTGGGAGAAAAAGGAAGTCTGCTGCAAGCCCAAAAGAGCCACAGGGACTCTAGTTTGTGGCTGACTTGCCAGCAACTTGCTTGTGGCTCTTTGAGCTTCAGTTTCCTCACCTTGCCAATGAGAGGGCAGCAGGGAAACGCGAAGTCTCAGCTGTCGAGGCTCGTAAGTCCCATGAAGACACCCTGCATTTTGCTCAGTTCCTCACAAAAATGTACCAGGAAAAAGCACTATGACTCCATCCTTCCCTGTCCAACCCCCTCACTCCAAAGAAAATGCATGAAGCACTGATTGTTAATTCACTGACAACCACTCATTCACCTCAAGGAGGAAGTCCCTGGCCTGTGCCACTCTTGGGCTGTGTACACACTGGGTGAGAGACAGCCGGCACCCTCAGCCCGGGAGGGTCACCCCTCTCACCCTCGGCCCGGGACGGTCATCCCTCTGGCCCTGCAGACTCTGCCACTACGCACCTGAGCGGTTATGTAGCTCTGCTCCATGCCTGCTCACACCTCCTACTGCACTGGAGCCGCCTGAGGAATGAGGCGAGTGGTTGAAGTTTCCAGAACTGGCGGGAGAGGCAGGGCTTCTGGAGAGGCTGGGAAATTTCACCGGCCTGACAGGGGTCTGCAAGAACAAGGTGGTGCAGCACTGAGGGCCTGTCACTCTTCCAGCAAGTGTGCAGATCAAGCACTGGCCTGGCATACCCTTGCCAAGTCTGCTGGGATCCCCCTAAGGGATAGGGCTTGCTTCTGTCTTCCAGAGACTGTGTTCCAGAAAGCGCATTAGCTCAGGCTGGGCCCCTGTGATGCTTTCTCCCACTCATCACCCTGCCGTCAGCCTCGCTGAAATCTTCTAGGCCAAGAAGAAAACCCGATTATGTCATTCACTAAAAAGCCCAAGAAGGCCCAGGCATCCAGGGCAGAATCATCCCCTGGGTGATGTGGTGACCACCTCTGTAGTCCAAGCTTACCCCTCCCAGGTTGGTCCTGCTGGTCCAGCAATGTCTCCTCTCATTGCACCCTACAGCCCCACTTTGGCATCACACTCTTGGAAAGCCTTTCTTGACCCCTTGGTCCCTAGTGTCCCAACACACCTGGTCACATGCCTCTGACCTCCCCAGATCCATTCCCTCTACTTTTATTACACAGATACCTCTGGATTCCTGGCCAGCCCCTTTTGAGCCCCAGGGCTTTGCCCAGGTCTGGTTCTGCACCACCAGCTTTAGTCCTTGTCTTCTAACCTCAGGTATCACTTGCTGGCCTGCCCTGCTGAGGAGGCCCACGCTGTCCCCCTCTCACACGCACTGCTCTGCTCTTCCGGCACCCTGGCCCTTCCCAACAGCCCTTCTGATGAGTGCATATCTGCTGTGTCCCCGTGCATCTGGTCCTTTGCGCTCCCAGGGACTCTGCTCTCGCGTATTCCAAGGACCCTGGGCCTGCAGAGGCGTCCAGGAAGAACTACTGATGGCTGCAGTAGGCTATGGTGCTCTCCAAGATGTGCCCTGTCCTGCCGTCCAGAGCCTCCAGAGTATCCCAGGAAGGCACAGGTGGCTATTACAATACACAAGCTCATATTAGACGGGCTTTGGAGTTTCCAGGAGCGGAGCTTAGCCTGGATAGCCTGGGTGACCCTAAAAGCAACTGCGTATCTTCTTCTAAGACAGAGGTAGGGAGGGAATTCTGGGGAAGAGGAGGCTCTGTTGCCATGGAGGCAGAGACTGGGAGATGAGGCCACAACTTAAATACCTAGGGCCTGTGGAAGCTGGAGCAGACAGAGACAGCCGCTAGTCAGAAGGAACGTGGCCTTGCAGGTGCCGTGCTTCCAGCTCGGGGCTCTAGAATTGAGCAAAAGTACATTTCTGCTGTCTTAAGGTTACTGGCTTCGGGTGATTTGTCACAGCAGCTACCGTGGCCACCCTAGGAAGGGCTGTGGCAGAAGAGCATGTACCTGCCATGACCTGGCACCCGGGCTCCTGCTCTGCATAGGAGAGAAAACTCTACAGGCAGAAAATCCTGGATCCAATGTCACAGCCTCCTGGGGGCTCCCTGACTGCCCCTGCAGAGCCCCCAGCACACACATTTGTCTCTCTGGCTCCCTAGAAATGCATTACCCTGCCTCATGTTCCATCTCTGTTACCCAGATCAGAGCTGAAGCTGGCTTTCCATCCCCCTGGCGTTTCTGACATACTCAAGAAAATGGTTCAGGGAAGAACTCTACAGACCGGTTCTACGACTCCCCCCCACATCCCTACCTGACCTAGACAAGTGGGCTAAAGGCAACCAGTCCTGCAGCTTGTGGGCATCTCCAGGTGCCAGGCTCTTGGGTCTCCCCTGGTGACTTGATGGGATGATAGCTCTGGGGTAAGGAAGCATCAGGCACAGGGATCAGGCCCACCCAACAGTGAAGGAGCTCCTGAGGATCTCTAACCACTGAGCTGGCAGCAGCAGGGCCAGCACAGACTCAGCCACTTGCGAGACCATCTCTCACCTGACAGGAAGCGCCTAGCCCAGGACACGACAGGGGCAGACACTGCCCTTGAGAAAGCAGCCGCAGAGCAGCCTCCTGGCGTTGATGCTCCAGCTCAGCCCTGGACAATACGACAGCATGGGACCTGAGCCAATGCCAAAGCCCTGCTTGCTGGTCCTAGACCCTCTCCAATCTGGCTGGTGATCTGCAGCACATCACAGCTCCCCTGGTCCCTATTCCTTACCTACTGACAGGAAGCTTAGATAAGACAAATGTGGTCTTCAAACCCTGTTTTCCCCAGAGCTCCAGGGTTCCAGAGAGGCAATAGATGCTCCTCAAAACAACATTTTAATGTCTCAGATATACTGAATGCCTTTGTAGGATTTAAACAGACAAGGATATAACTCATTTTTTTAAGGGGGGGGGGACTGGCAAGATAGCTCAGCAGACTAAAGCATCTGCTTAGGCAAGCTTAAGCAAGTGTAGGGACCACAGTTTGATCCCCAGAAGCACATGCCACGCCAGCCCCACCCCCAGGGCAGGCTGATCCAGCCACAGAGCCCAGGTGTAGTGGTTTACACCCATAATTCCAGAGCTGGGAAGGCTGTTCTTCACAGAAGGAACACTGAGTCCAAGCTGCGTAGTGAGACCCTGTGACAACCAAATAATAATATATTCTTATTAAAATAACAAGAAAAAAATTTTAAAGCTCTGACACTGGGACCAGTAGGCCTGAGGTCTCTCTGCCTGTACTGTACCTCATCTCGGCAAATGACACGCGGAAGCCTGAGCTGGGTGACTTACGCTGTCTGTGCCCCCGCTGCCCACAGCATGGCCCCTGCTGGCTCTCTGGAGCAGCCCAGTCTTCATGGGCTCTGCCTTCCCATTCTGACAGGCCCTGGAGCGGTCAGAGCTCCACAGTTCAAAGCTGGAAGGGGGCAGGAAAGGAGGGATGACTGCCTTCAGTTTGTCGCTCGGGAGCCTGGTAAAAGGTGCCCCATTTCGAAGCTGAAAAAGACAGGTCAGGGGTTAGGTGAGCCCACAAGGGCTCCAGCTCTGGGGAGGCCTCCGGGTTTTCCCTGCTCCTCACAGAACTGGTGCCACCAACCACCTCGCCACCCAATCCAGGAGACCACACAGCAGCCTAACAACCATACCTGTACTATAAAGATGACAACAAAGGGGGCAGTGGGGACAGAGGACTGATCTCAAGGGACAGTGCAGGGGAGAGGGCAGGCCAGACACACAGGCTGTGCGAAGGTCAGGAGCCCGGGTGGGCCAGGCGGGGTGCCAGCTGCTGGAGGCTGCAGAAGAGCAGCAGGGAACCCAGCTCCCGCGTGCCCTGCCTGCCCTGCCCCCTCCAGCCATGCCTCCCACTGTTGCCATTTTCAGCAACAATTTAATGCTACATTTGGAAAGTGGGATGCAGGTCAGTACCAGATCCGCATAGCCGTGACTGTTGGGCTGTCAAGGAAGAGCACTCGCTCCGTCCACGCTCACTTTAATTAAGAAAAGACAGCGAACTGGGCGCCAGATGGTGCTTTGTAGAGAAGGGCATCCCACAGCTAAACCCGCCTCGGGAGCTGGGCAGGCGGCTTCTCTGCACCGATGACTTTGAACGCCCACTCGGCATCCACAGAGCCACGGGGCATCTACGCCTGCCAGGGACAGTGAGCGGGTGCAGCGGGCCTGGGAGAGTGACAGGACAAGATGGGTTCCTGTGTCGCTGTGCTGTTTTCCTGAGAGTCTGTGAACTAGTGCTTTCCCCGCTGGACTGCACAACCTCATCCAGCCAGGGAGGGGCTGGGCTGGACACAAACAGCTGCAAAGCCACCACCAAGGGGCACTTCACCCTCCGGGTCACAAGCCCAAGTTGCCACCCTTCTGGAAGGCAATGGCGCTCACACCCTCTGCCCACGAGTTCCACCTCTAGAGATCTACCCTGAAAAATAATTAGAAGTGGGCGAAACGGAGGCATAAGGCCACTGAGCAAGTTGCTGCAATCGTGCAAAACTAGAAAGTCCACCAGCCAACAGGTCAGTCTTGGACAAAGCCCTGTCACGACAGACAGCCCTACCATGCGGCCAAGAAACATGCTATGGGAAAGAGTGCTCGGCGATGTGGAAACGCTGGTCGTGGCAAGTTGTTCTCAAGCCGAGGGGAACACAACACAGAGAAGATGATGATGCTGTCGGCCTCACATGCTTCTGCGGGAGCTTGAGTGAGCTGGTGCACACGCAGCGCCAGGAATAGTGCTGTTATTTAGTCAGTGCTGCGGTCTTTGCTATTATTATACATATACAACATCATGTCATATTCATAGATGCTAAAAAAATGCTTAGGAAAGATACTCAAAACATATATGCCACAAAATGCCAACCACAATTCCATCTGGGTCCATGAGCAAAGGTGATTTTATTTTCCTTCTTGATACTTCACTGCACCTTTCAAAATGCCTATAATAGCATTTCTGTTTTCACACTGGAACTAGTTAGTGTAATCTAGTAACACGGTCAAATGGCAGGCAGCATAAGCTCTCAGGATCAGTTAGGGCCACATTTTACCCCTGTTGGCACAGCAGCGGACCACGCACAGCAGTTGGGGACAGCGGCCAGGGCCGCAGTTCCTGACCCCGCCTGTGTCCTCAGGTGAGCTGCTTAGGGTCCCTGCCCTTGCCAACGCTGCCCTCTGCTGGTCATGACTAGGGTCTTAGTGCTACGGGGACTTGAACCATAAGGTTACTCTCTCATTCACAGAACACAAAACCCAGAAAAGTGAGGTTACATTTGCAAGGTCACAAGGCAGAGCTAACCCTGGGCCAAGCACCCTGCTTACTTTATAGATCAGCGGTCTCTTCTGGAGATGATTTTGCTTAAAAACCCAAACCACGAGGAACAGCATTGATAATTCAGAGACCACAAAGCTTTAGTCCGTCAGAGACCGTAGTCCACCCATATCTACCTGACGCAGTCCCTTAGAAATGACGCCCCTGCTATTTGCAGAGGCATGTATGTGACCATCCAGAACAAAGACTCCACTACCAAGCTTCCCCTGCCATGAGGATGTGATCGCAGGACTAAATTCTACCCAGTTTGACATTAAAAAAAACAATGTGTACAAGTTTCTAGGAGATATCTTTAAAGATGGCTGGCATGTATCTCTGGTCACCTTTTCTTCCTTCCTCTTTCCTGCTGGCTGAAATAGGCAGTAATGACCAGCGTTCTGGTAGTCATCTTGGGCAGAGAGGTGATCGTGGGAACAGAAGCCACACGTAGAAAGTCAGCAGGTAACATGAAGTTAGGTCTCTTACATCCAAACTTAACGCACTTGAGAAAAACAGTTGCTGCCTTGTTTATGCTACTGCTATTTGGGGACCTTTGCAATTGCTGAACTGAATGAGTCCTGATGTACCTCTGGTTGATAGATTTAAAGGTCTCTCCTACAGGTTCTCTCCTGACACACCATAACCACAGTACTGCATCTTCTTCACATCTAATGCTGCCCACCAATACCTACCTTCAGTCCCCCACCTAAGAACCGAACTTACTTCTGGCCACCACACAGAGCACAGCTTACCTATGGGTCAGGGCTGGCACCTTGTCCAGCATTCAGGTACCAGAGTTGGACCCACTGTTACATGACTTGATCATCAACCACATCATGACTATCACAAAGAAAGATAAACACCCATACCCCTCCTCAAAAATCAATCAACTAATGATTGGCAGAGATCTAAAATGCTCTTAGCAAAGCCCACACTCACCATGGTCGTCAATAACGCATCTTCCTTTTCTCCTCTCGTGCTCCCAGGACCTGAGAGATAAATGGAAGTTCCTGAAATGACCCTCCCCTGAGGCCACGACATGAAGATGAGTGATGGGGCGGCCTTCATCCTGGAAAGCCAACTCTCCTGGGTGATTAAATATTTAATAATCATTGGTATTCAATATTTTAATAGAAGGAAAGCATTTAGAAGGTATCTCAGAGCATGTTTTCTGCTTTTCCATAAACCACTGTTGTGCTTGGCCAGACAGTCAAGTGCTCTACTCAATAGTCTGTCTCAGACAGTGGTGCCGAAGGAGCTGGTCCGGGGATGGGAAACCTGACTGGTCCAGGGATCCTGGCTGATCACTTTTCCCAAAAGTATAGAAATGTCCTTCAGTAACCGGGCAAAGTCATCCAATGTGTTGAACAATCCCAGGAGTAGGGAACTCACTGCCTTCCCTCTGCAGGTCAGTACCACAAACCGATCACATTTGATATGTGGGGAAAACCACCAACCAGAGATAAGGGAAAAGCAATGATTGACCTGTGACCCCCTCTAGCAGGAAGTGTGAGGCAGGGACCTGGGACTTCTGCCTTTGGCTGGTGCTGTCCACATCCCTTCTCCTTCAGCTGGTCACTCTGCCCCAGAGCTGCATTCTTACATCATCTGATCCCTCATTCTTACATCATCTGATCCCTACTGATGGATCAAGAAGTAGCAGTAGGGGGTACAAGGGCAGCAGTGAGGTGAGACCATGCTGAAACGCCAGGCCACCTGCAGCCTTTTCTTACCATTGTCTTTGGTCATATGGGCCACAGTGGGGAGCCCAGGGAAGTCTGTCTTGTCCTGGGAGGTGGCCCTCATCGTTGAGTCCAGCGCTGGCTCGGGCTCATCGGCAAAAGGTAAGGGCTGGTTGATGGACAGCCCACGGGGCAGTGTCTGCATCAGTTTGAGCTTGCGGAAGCGATTGGACATCCGGTTCCACCAGGACTGTGGGAAATGCAAAGCAGAGGTCATGCAAGCAGGGAGGCCCAGGGTCAGTGACTACACTCTGCGTGCCTTTCTCCTGCTTGCCTGGCCCCACAGCACGCACTTGCCTTTCACAGTATAGCACCCCTTCCCACAAGCCACAGCTGCTCCCAGGAAGGAGCTGAAGGAGCCTGAGGATTGTGGGGAAACCCTCAGCAGCCCAACTGGCAAATGTCCAGCACGGTGAAGCAGAGGCCAAAATAGACACCATGTGGTAAGGTGCAGTTTAGCAAGCTCCGGACTACATTCTGCAAAAATTTTTAAACCTTCTCTGTATTTATAAATTGAGATTCCATAGCAAAAGCAGTCACTTCTGTTTTCTCATGGAAAAACAGTGGAAGGAATATGCTGGAACCACATTCTGGCAAAGCAGCTAGTGCTGTCCCAGGATGGTTCTGATTGCCCCAGTTTCCCCTGGCCCCCCTCATTTCCTAGTATTCGCCTGCAGTCTTTCTGGGACCCTCAGCTACAACAGCCTTGGCAGAAAACAAGCAGCTGGCTCCCCACCACATGCCATCATCCAATCCTCTAAAACCTTTAGGACAGAGAGAGGCACACCTTCAGGCCACCCTTGTCATCGGGCAGCACCGGGATGCTCCATGGCTCTCTGACCTTCGTGTGGGGCAGAGGTGGAGGATGGCTTGGCCGGCCTTTGTCCTTATTCACCTGCATGCAGACAGATGCCAGCAGCCGAACTAGTTCCGTGTCTATGGGCACAAAAGGCAGGTATTTGTTTTCCCTGCAAATAGGTCTGTTGGGCTATGGGAAGGGGACCCAAAAAAGGCTGCCTTTGTCAGCCTTTAAAACCAGCCTTGTACTGCCTGGAAAGCGTAGCTCCAGAGCTACAGGCTCAACTCCCTCCTCTTCACCTGATCTTCAAAGATGCCAGACACAAGCCAGACTCACATTTGACCTCTACCCTGCCCTGGCTGTGTAAGAGCAGGAAAATTATTCACTGTTGCAGGCTTAATTTACAAGGAGGTGACATTAACACCCACCACATAAATGTGTCTCAAGGATTAAAGGCAATTCCTTCTGAGTACTTAAAAGTACCTGGTGCGTGTAAGAGCTTAAGAGAGGTTAAGCACTATTAGTTGTTATAAACTCAACTAGGTTACTAGGGGACAAAAGCATTGAACAATATTATAACAGAAATATTCGGGGGCTGTGGGTGTAGCTCGGGTGGAGAATTTGCTTAGCCATGTGCAAGCCTTCAGTTTGATCCCTAGCATCACAAAATGAAAGAAACAGAGACACAGAGGAAGGAAAGAGAAAGAAAGGGAGGGAGGGAGGAAGGGAAAGAAAGAGGGAAAGACAGACAGACTTAGCCCTCTGGGCTGCTAGATGTGTCCATGTGCTGCAAAGATGGAGCAGACCAACTCCACCAAGAGATGCTCCTTAGCTCTGGCCCCTTCTAGACCTCACCCTTCTCATATACCTATGTCCTTTATATCTTTTAGAATAAACCAGCAGACATCAACAAAAAGAAAGAAAAGAAGAAAATATTCCCAACTACTAACACTTCTTTCTCCTGTTGACAGGCACTCTGTTCAATAGCAGTGTTCTGTTTAGATTGAGATGTCCTCAAACGGCCTCATGCACCCACCGGCAGGGTTTCCGGAAGGTGGGCAGTGTAGCTGACTTGCTGCCAGGAGGCAGGCTTTGGTGGGAAGGAGCCAGTCACTGGGGCGCAGCCCAGAATGGTTCACCTCCCTTCCGGGCTCCTCCAGTGACCCTGCTTCCTTGCCTGCACGACATGAGCAACCTCCTCCGCCGTGCCCCTCTGCACAGCATGGTCCTACCAACCATGGACCAAACAAGAGCCCATCTAAACCTCTTCTTCCTTCAGTGGGGGATATGGAGCATTTTGTTCCAGGAACAAGGAACGTGACTAAGACAAGCAGTAGTATTGCCTGGAGAATCTTAGGACAAACATTTCATTTAAGCACACGCCAGGAAAAAAAAAAATCTACTAAGGGCCCTCACGGTTCAAAGCCATGGGGCTCTTTTACTGGGAAGGGGAGAGGAGGTGGGGAGAAGAGGCTACCAGAAGAAACAAGTTGGCCTAAGCATATGTGAAGTCAGAACAACAGAAACTCTGGGCTGGGAGGTGGGGCTGTGATGACAGAACGTGCTCCCTGGATTTTGGGCCTAGGACCCCACTCCCACCAGGCCAGATCTCCCCACCCCAGGCGTGGCTGCCAGATCTCTACAAGAAGATGTGAAACTCTGCTTTTCTTAAGCCTAAGTACCAAACAGACCCATTGGCGCATCTGTCACAGGGGCCTTTACATTGCCCCCAGAGTCGTTGCAAGTACAGACTCTGCTCTAGGGCTTGAGGAGCTACGAGGCAGGCATGTTCCTGTTTGTCCTCCCTCCTTGGAGACCCTGAAAATAGAAGGCTCAGGGGCAGTGGGAAGGGAAGTGCCTGGCCCAAGCTCACAAGCTGGGCCCTGGCCTCCAGGGACTGCCCTCCCTGTGTATAACAAGGCTTCACTCGAGGCTGCCAGGCAAGAACAACCGTGTAGACTCACAGCCCTTTGCTTGACAGAACCCACCAGGATCATTCAGCAGCATCACTAGGTCAAAGGCTGTGTACCCATTTTTTGCTCGAAGAGCAACATCAGCCCCTTGGTTTAGCAGAAACTTGACAATCTCCTTGTTCCTGGAAGTACAGAGAAAGAAAGGGTTACACTTGCTGCTATAGTTTAGACATTGACTCCAAAGATGTAGCTACCATGGTGGCACTGTTAGGAGGGGCTATGGACCTTTAGGAGATAAAGTCCAAAAATCCCTGGGGGATCCCAGTCCTCCCACCTCTCTGCTTCCTGACAGAGAGATATGAGTGTCTGGTCACACACATCTTCCTCACCAGTACCTCCGGCAGCCTCACAAGAGGCTCTAAGTCATTAAGATGACTAATTTGGGGGTGAAACCTTTAGAACTGTGAGCAAAAATAAACCTTTCTCTTAAGTTAACTGCCTCAGGTATTCTGTCATAGCAATACAGCACTGACTAATACATCTACCATTACAAAGCATGGCTTTATTCCTGGGTAATAAAGCTGACAACATTAACAACAGCCCTCTGTCTCTGCATTTCAGCAGTTCATGGGTGAGGGCAAACAGTCTCATACTCATCTTTCACCACTATCCAGCAGGTCAGATGTAACACAACTTAGAATCTTAGGTTCCTTGAGTCAAAATGAAAACAGGACTCTGCCCAAAAAAATGCTTGGCTGAATGCTACTCCTTCCCCTCCACTCTGCGAGGCTCACACAGGCCAAAAGATCTGATAGGGATGTCTGAGAACCTTCAAATAAAAAAATTTAACTGTTTCCAGATGATAGAGGAAAGGAACATGATTAGCGCAAGGGAAAAGCCCCTACTAGAGTCAGACCATTCAGCAGTTCCAAGAGGTGATGTGATGACCCCAGCCATGCAAGAAGGGATCTATCAGCCCCTTGCACACACTGAAGCCCTGCCCCCACCCCGGCATGGTCAGGGGAAGCCCAGGATGCAGAACTAACATTCATTTCACAGAGGGACCACGTAAGAATGTAAAAATGCCAAACAAACCAATCACACTGCTCAGCTGAAACCAACCATAGCAGCTTCTTTCTGCCTAAACGCTTCCTGCTGCGTGGTTTTTCCCCATCCCTGGGAAATTCCACCCTTTTGGTTAGTGGAAAGTCTGGCTAGGGCTCTGGAAGGCTGGAAAGCAGATGAAGTGGGCCCATGATGCTGCCCCTTTGGTGCCCACCTCCGTGTCTTTGGGGGGGGGTCTATGTGGTATCTCAGGATCAGAAAACCTCATGGGGAACCCCCACCTTGGGCTAGGGCATCTGCTGGGCCTGGTCATGGAGAGAGTACAGCTGGCACTGACCCGTGGTAGGTGGCCTGCATGAGGGCTGTCCAGCCATGCACGCTATCCTGCTTGTCGATGTCAGCGTGCCTCTCTACCAGCAGCTGCACCAGGGGCAGCTGCCCTGTGACAGCGGCCAGCATCAGCGGGGTTGCCCCATCCCCATTGACCAGGTTCACATGGTTGGGGTCTTCATCGGCGATCTCTTTGACCAGCTGGAAGTTTCCTGCACACACAAACAGGAGTCTCAGTGACTCATGGCACCGGATTCACGGGCCCTCTTGGTCCTTTAGTTCATGGACCAGACATCTGCTAACTGTGACCCACAATGAGCCGCACGAGGGCCAGAGAGGGCCTCTACTCTACAGTCCCTCTATGGGAGCTGAAGACATGCCCAAGCATGGACAGAAGTGCTGTCTACAGCTCAGGAGAACAGGCAAAGGAGAGAAAAAGGCATGCGGGATAGCAGGTCAGGTCTTACCAACTGTGAGGACCAGGCAGGGCTTCCTGGAGGTGGGGTCTATATCAAGAGACAAAATCTCAGGCTAAACAGCCTTTTGTCATAGAGACTAGAGTGGGTGGGTATGCAGGAGGGGATTTGAGAGGTGGGGAGAAGCAAGGGCACAGCTCAGTGTTTGGCAGGCAAGGTCGCGGGGCAGTCTGGAACCTGTGAGCTGAATCCCCTAGCCACCATGAGCCTCCAAGCTAGCTCTCCCTGCTGAGCCTGCTGAGTCAGGGAACAACAAAAAACTTGCCTGTTTCTCAAATACTCCGGGTGGGCTTGGAAAGGATAACAAATACTAGACAGGGAGTGTGTGGTCCTGTGTTCTTCAATCCAAAAAGATTTGCCGAAGTACTTACCCATTTTCAATGCATGAAAAATATCAGGACGCCTCTTCTCCTCATCTGGGTAAGCAAAGATTTTGAACGTTAGCCACAGAAAGGTTTAATGTAACAGCAAAGTCACAAGGGTGTAGCAACACGATCTAGCTTTTAAAAGGATCTACTTCTCAGAAGCAATCTAACCAGAGACCTAACAGACCAATCCCACAGCGCTTCTGGAAGGCAGGGTTATTACCACAGAGTTCTGAAAACACTTCCCAGATACTTCGTGCACTGCTCGCTGCTCGGATAGCACACTAATGAAGCAATTGTTTTGAGGCATTCCCAGCGTTAGGGTGTCCTTTCTTATTAAAGAAGCATGGTCTTGGAAAAACAGATTCCTGCAGGAATTTTAAAAAGAAACAACAATTGTTTTCTGCAGTACTAAGTGTTCCACCATGCTCCAAGGCAGAGGACTGGGACCCTGAGGGCTGCACAGTGCTCAGTCACGGCCACAGCCACCAGAAGGGCAGTGTTCATTCGACCCACTTCCCAAGTACAGAGTAATGTAAACACGAGTCCTGCCCACACCTGCTGTGCAGCTGGACTCTTCCAGAATCCCTGCATGCTCCCATGACTGCTGCGGCCCCACTACACCACCCACACCAGCCCATCTCTCCTGCTTATGCTCAGCTGGTCTCTTGCTGTACCCACATGGCCTCTCTGCCTGCTGGGACTGTAGATAAGATGCCTGCAGCCCTCCTAGGTTCCAGGGATGAGGGGCTGGAGGAGGACACGTGTCCTGGCTAATGGGTGTGCACACGAGCCCTATCGGGCAGCTGGGCTTGGGGCCCACTGAGTCTACAGCCAGCACAATGCCAGTGTGGCTGCGTGCTTCCAGAGGAACCAGTAGTGAGCTTCAGTGACACAGAACAATCCTCATGTCACTAGTCTCTTGCAGGGATCAGCTGATGATGTAGGTGAGAAAATGGCTAAAAACATTAAAGCCCTGTTCAAAGATGATTGCTATGTTTACTAGGTACCAGCAACCACACTACTAAGGTTAACTATTTAATTCCAGGATTTTTTTTTTTCAGTAATAGGAATTAAACCCAGGCCTTGCGCATGTGAGGCAAGTACTCTGAGTCACATCTGCGGTCTTCTAAAAAATAAATTGATGTACAATCTTAATGGCTGGGCTTGAACTGAACCTGCAATTCTTCTGCCTCAGCCTCCTAAACAGCTGGGATTATACTCAGTTTAACCCCAGGATTCTTAATGGCAAATATGTACTTGGCCACAGTACCAAATTTTAAATTCTGCCTTGAAATATTATCAAGGAACAACAGTGCAATTCAGTTCTTTAATATACAGCATGTGCCTTTAAGTAGTTATGAATGGGGCTTCTCATGCCAAGGCACGGTGACAGGAGCCGGAGAGATAGTGCAGCGGTCTAAAGTGCCTGCTTAGGTTAGGCAAACTTAGGCAAGCTCACAGGGACCGTGGTTCAAGCCCCACCCCCAGAGTGGGCTGAGCCAGCCAACAGCAACAAAAAAAAAAATGATAATAAGACACTGTGACATAAGAGAGTGTGGCCCTTGGTCTTGGTGCTGGCAGCCCAACAGCCATCTGCTTTGCATTCATCACTGACAGCCTGGTCCGAGGCTGGAAGCTGAGGCAGCTGCGTGATGCTGCCCACTGACCCTGGGCTGGTCCCTTCTTCACTCTCGGGCTCGTGGTCTTCTCTACACAGGAGCCGCTCCAAGGCCCTACCCCACCCCAAGGAGAGGAAGCCCTCCTGACCCCACATCACACTGCTGCTGGGAAGAGGCTGTCAGAACAACAGCAATACCCAGAGGGGGCCGTGCACTGCTGCTAAGGCTCGGGGTAGGCCACAGGCTGCCGAGGCTCAGGAGGAGTAGACATCTTGACATCTCACAGCAAGAGCTAGGGATTATAATTACTATTTAATCAGCTTTCTCATTATTAACAGCACAGACTTGGCCCTTGCTGTTCTACCTGGGGTTCTCCCCTGAGGGCGCAGACAGCTGGTGTACTTCCTGCACGCCTAGGAGGCCACTGAAAATCACATTCTCAAGGTAGCCACGCACTGCCTGATTTCCAAAGGCAGCCTGCATCACCCAGCTCTGCCACACCTAATCCCTTGACCTCGCCCTCAGTTGTTCTGTTTTTTAACCTCATGATGTTCCTATATTCTATATAATTATTTAATATGCCTACTGACTGTCTTCCTCCCCCCAGAGGCCAAGGTCTCAGGGATTTGGTTCTCACTGGTTCACTGTCGTATCACAGGTACCTTGAATGGTGCCTAGTACATAGTAAGCACTTGATAAATATTTTAAAAATAACTGAAAGAAGGCCTGAGCAATAGAAATGTATTCCAGTAGCTTCCATACTGAGTTCTGTTTACGTGACTGCCAGGCACTGGGATACACCCTGAACAGGCATCACCTTACCAGTCCCCACAACACGTCGCAGGGGCAGTGCAATCATGCCTATTTTATGAAAGAGAGCACTTCAGTCCTAGAGGGACAGCTAACACATCCCAGGCCTCCCAGCTACGGAGTGAGAGAAGGGCCTAAAGTGGGATGCTCAGCAGAGAGGCCAGCGCTTGATCCATCCGGCCAGGTCCCAGACCACGTGTGGCTATTTTATGATCTCCCCGTCCATGGAGAACTAGAAGCTCTGAAATGCAACATGTCCTAAGGCTGTCTCACTAGGAACTGCTCCAGTGGCCCTTTAAATGCCAGAAAGACAGGGGAAAAAAATACAATACACACTAATATTTAGTACGTGAAAAACACAAGAACTAAAGGGGTGAATTCTCACTAACTTGGTAGGACTTGGTCTTTGCTGGCAGATGAGGTTAGGTACCCTGTTCTAGGGCAGCAATTGGTCAGCTATGGGGCAAGCTACAGGCAAGCTAAACCCCGCCCTGTGGCCTGCTTTGTAACTACAGCCGACACAGTTTGGAGGGCTACTTTCACACTAACAACACTGAGTGGCTCTGACAGACTGTAGGGCCCACTGTCATGGTTTGTGTCTGCAGAGAGACACCAGGCACCCCTGTGCGGAACCTTAAGCACAGCGAGCTCAAACTCAAGTCCAGTGGGGTAGAGCCATCTCAATGATGGGGGTAGAGCCATCTCATGGTCCTCTGTGAAGCCATGGCAGCAGCAGCAGGTGTGTAGGGTGTGTGTGTGTGTGTGTGTGTGTGTGTGTGTGTGTTACAGCCTGACCTGTTCTGGGCCTGACGGTGGTCAGCGGGTCCAGGTAGTCTGCAAGGTCCCTGTGTCTGCGGTCCAGCGCTACCTCAAAGGCTGTCTTCTCCAGCACACTGAGGTGGTCAGGGTTGGCTCCCTTCTCTGCCAGCTGCTGGGCCACAGCCAACCTCCCGGCCAGTGCCGCCAACATCAGGGGGCTCCAGCCCACTGTCCGAGCTGCATGGTTGGGGTCCGCACCCCACTCCAGCAGCAGCCGCACCACACCCTCATGCCCATGCTGGACGGCGGCCATCAGGGCTGTGATATCCAGCAGCTCATCCCTGATGCCTCCCAGCCCTGGCTGCTCTCCACAGGGGCTGTGATGGTCCACAAAGGCACCGGCTTCCAGAAGTAGCTTCACCACACCCAGGTGGCCACCCCGAGAGGCCACAGTGAGCACACTGGCCCCCAGCCGGTTCTGGGCATTGACATCGGCCCCATGATCCAGGAGGAGGTGTGCCACACTTGCATGCCCAAACCTGGGAGGAAAATGGAGAGTTAGTAATTCTAAAGTGGAGCACTAAGGGAACAGCTCATGTGATTCTCATGTGTCGGCAACTACTAAAGGCACAGTGGGGGCTGGTGAGATGGCTCAGTGGTCTAAAGCACCTACTTAGAACAAGCTAAGCCAAACAAAGCACAGGGACCGCGGTTCAATCCCCCAGCACCACATGCCAGCCCGCCCGCCCCCTGGTGGGCTGAGCTGGCCACACAAAAAATAAATAAATAAATAAATATTAAAAAAAATAAATAAAAAAAAATAAATAAATAAAGGCACAGTGGCTGCACAGCACCAAAGGCCTTATTTGGGTGTCAGCCACGATGCTGGCTCAAGATGCACTGTCCCCAGGTGAGTGACTGCCCTGCCCAGCTTGGAATCCAGCACTGGCTGTGTGACTTGGAAAGAATTTCAGCTTCTCGGTTCCTTCCTTTCCTGAGCTTACAAAATAGGACTGTAATTGCATCTACTGCAAGGGCTGAGGCTTGAGATAGATGGATAGATAGATAGATACAGATGTAGATATAGATATAGATATAGATGTAGCTATATATCTCCTGGAACACTACTTGAAAAAGGCCCTGCGGGGCCGGGGAGATGGCTCAGAAGAATAAGCGCTTCCCTAGCAAGCACAAGGGCCTGAGTTCAATCCCTGGTACTGCCAAAAAGAAAAAAAAAATAAAATAAAAGGGTGCTGCATATCAATGTTAGTTATGATTGTTATGCTTTTTTTTTTTTTTTTTTTTTTTTGTGGTACCAGGGATCGAACTCAGGACCTTGTGCTTGCCAGGCAAACACTTATTCCACTGAGCTATCTCCCCAGCCCGATTGTTATGCATCTCAAATCTGCAGCATGCCAGAATCTGGGGCTGTGTGAACTTTGCTGCTCTCACTCACTTTTTCCCCTGCACTACTCTACCTCCCCCATCTCAGAGGTCATTTTGTCCTGCTTCACAGCCTGGGCATCTCTCTCTTTCTGTGTCCCAGGCAAGGCTCATGTCTGATTCATTTCCACCCTCCCCAGCTCCCAAGGCTCCCTCCACAAGCCAAGAGGTGTGGCCGGCTGTGCTCTGCAAAGGGGCTCAGATTCCTCGCATGGAAGGCTGCTGCCACCTACCGGAAGGCAGCAATGTTCACTGCAGGCAGCCAAGACTGGCCTGAGTCAGACTTAGCTCAGAGAAGCCAGCTAGAGCTGTTTGTGATGGACACTGGGAAGACAGATTCCTGCCCACCAACTCCCTAAAACCAGGAAGAAAAAAACAGCACAGCAAAATCTGCTCCTTTAACACCAGCGAGCAAGAAGCACTGCTCCACGCATCCCAGGGGTCGCAGAGTGGGTGCTGTAGAGCTCTAGGAGCCCCTAGACCAACCAAGAAAGGAAGTCAGAGGGGCCCAACTTTGCCAGGCTCAGGGCCACAGTGCCCCGTCACATCTGTATCCCTGAGGCCACTTTCTGGTTTGCTGCTCCCCGCTTCATTCTGGGAGGAGCTGTGCTCATCTAAACCCAGGTCTCCCTCCCACCTCTGGAGGCAGGGCCAGAGCTGCACTCTGGCCTGAGCGCCTGCTGCACTTACTTACAAATACTTGCTAGGAAGTGAACCTTAACAGTGCAGGGTCAGCTCAGCCTGCAAGGAGAAGGAGGGCAGGGACCTGGGGGCTGGAGCCTGGGTTTCTCTCCAGAGCAGAGAAAGGGAGCAAGCCACAGGGAATACACTAAATGCAGAAGGATAGGACTCCATGGTCACCCTGTCCCCAGTCCTCCATGTAGCCCCCAAGCCTAAATCACAGGGTCAACCTCCAGCCTTCCACTGTCCAAAGCGGCTGCCCACTTTGCTGACCTCATTTCCTGGCAATTCCCAATCATACCCTTTTGCCTCTCCCCCCTCCCATCTGTACCTGGGGAGCACACACTCTGCCTTGCTTAGGATTCCATGCAGAGCTCATGTCCTCCATACAGATCCAGACCGAACCCCAACGGATGAGGTTAGGTGCCCCTCGCTCTCCGTGGCATCTTAGTCCTCCTGCTGAGTCTCCCCCATTTGCCTGTAGGCTTTTCAAGGACAAAACTGGCTTCTAGACACTCTTGCCTCCCCAGTCCTTAACACAGGAGAAAACTGACAAAGGAACACATAAATGATGCATAAGTGGAGCAACTAAGGAGTGGGAGGTCTGGGCAGGAAAAACCACTGAAGAACTACTGTAAGTGAGTAAGCACACTATTAGTGATGAAGCATAAAATAAAATCTAGCATAATCTCTAGCAGATTACATATGTGTTTTCTCGTCTTTATCTAATTTGATTTTAATAAACTTCAAGATAAACTCATTATCTCCTATTCCACCAATAAGGAAACCATAGATTAGAGTGGAAACCTTCCAATCCAGGCTCTTTCCATGTACCCAATTTGAGGAAAGGCTGAATTCAAGCAGAAATACTGAAATTTGGAATGTGTTCTGATAACTCAGGTAGCCCCAGAGAGACTTCAATTAGCCTGAAATTATAAAAGGATTCAACAGAGGCTGAGATAATTTTGCGGATGCTAAATTCCTAATAAGTAATTATTGGAGATGTGGATGCCAGGGGCTTTCTGAGCAGGTGCTATGATTACCAATTAATTTCAGCAATTAACACCTGTGTTTGAAGAGCTGGCACACATTCCCGCCACTCTGAGTACTGGGCTGGGCATCCAGCTTTACTACTCCACAGGCAGGAGAATGAAGGGAAACAAAAGAATAAATGTTGTGTGCCACTGTCCCACGGACAGAAGTTCCTGGCAAATGTGGCAGTTTCTTGCCACCAACCCCAAGACAGAAATTATCAGTCATTGGAAGCACAGCTCCGAGCACAGCTGCCTAGGTGGGAATCAGATTTGGCCACTTTCTGACTGCAGCAGTGGACAGACTTGCTAACTTCTCTTTACCCCAGTGAGGATAACAACAGTGGCTACGTCCCAAAGTTCTATGTGGACTGAAGAAGCCAATTCCTTTAAAGTGCTGATATAGACTTGGCACGAAGTGCTTGATAAAGGTTACCTACAATCTTAGGAACAGGAAAAACCATTAATGTAACCATTTGTGATACTAAATTCACATGAAACGGAAGTGTCCAAGTCCAGACACAGCTTCTGACAGCGTGGTCCAATGATAAGCTGTGGATAAATAGATGCTCACTTTGCTGAAAGTGTGGCTGCCAGCATGCCATTTGAGGAGGATTTTGTGGCATCTCTGGGCTGGGGAATAAGAGCACAAGACTGCTGAGTGTCCCATGTGCCTACTACCATGACCTGAGTGAGGGTCAGGCAGATGACACGTCTTTCAAGCAAGTCACCCTACCTCTTATTCCTCCATGCTAAGCTCCTCTATGGACTGAGCCACAGAAATCTTGCACACTACTCAGCCAGAACATGGCCCCTGAGGACAGACAGCTGGGGTCAACAACTGAGGGACGATAAACATAGTGCACAGGCCCTGTCTAGGCTCTATGAGGGGGCAGGAAGGGGCACTCATCGTCTCCCAGGATGGGACATTCCAGGAATAGAAGAGCATCTCATAGAAGTAGATGGGAGTTTACCATACTAACGCTCCCGAAACAGAACCTGTAAGGTAAATCAAGTAATGAATAGGAATACCGGGAGTCCAGTCTCTCCATTCAGCAGCGACAAACACAAGACACTTAGGCCACAACTCCCAGCTGCTTTTTCAATAACAAATTTTATAGAAGAATGTAGGTCCACTTAAAATGGGAATTAGTTAACCAACCAAAGGTGCAGATACTCCTGAGTCTCCTGCCCCCAACAAGTTGTACAGACATGACTGAGCAGAAATTAATCTGATCATGCTGAGCATCCCACAGAACTGGATGTCAGGGACCTTGGCAATCCTGAGGCGAAGTGGTGCTGCAGGTACAAACCCCATTATTGATCATCCACCCCCCAGGCTCACCATGTGGAGCTCAGAGAAGCATGTGTCAGTGGCTCCAAACCTATGGTGCCCAAGTCACTGGGGAGATACTGACCCGCCCGGATGCCCAGCCACCTCAATCACAATCTCCAGAAAGGTAACCCAGGAGTCTCTACTTGGGCAAGAATCCCAGTGATTGTCAGGTGTGGCCAGGTTTGGAGACTGCTGAGGAAGGAAGCCAGCCATACTGGGTGAGGCAGATACTGCCAGCAAGTTATCTGGTACAGAGGCACCAGAGAACGGGTAGTGTTGGCATGCTTCCTCCGGGAAGATGCCAAGTTGGGGGAGGAGTTTACTGCAGAGAGGGAAGAAGAAACTTCCCTGCGTGGAGTTTTGATGAGGGCTCTGCAGTGGGCCCCAAGTCTACTCTGATTACCTGAAACATTTTATAATATAAATCTCAGACTCTCGTCTACAAAGTGGAGGCAATATTCTTGGAATGCAGTAAATGCTTTGGGTTAGCTTTTAATAAGATGCAAAGAGACATAGAAAAGGCCTAGATGAAATTATCTTGGCCTGAATTTAGGAAATAGAGGAGAGCAGCAGGGAAAATGAAGGAAGGGGCTGGTCATGAGAGCCTCACACACCCTGCTGAGGGCTTTGGCGAGGGGGCCGTTACAGAGAGGCACAGCCGAAGCATCATTTCAGAAAGATCTGGAAGTCCTCAGAGGACGGAGTAAAGAGGACCCCCCAGGAGGGAAGAGCCCTGGACAGAGGTGAAGGGGATGGACATAGCTGTGCATGCAAGGGCTATGTCACAGGCAGGGAAAGGGTTCCAGGCAGAAATGTGAAGCTTTAACGCCTGGGGAACAGGTGGTGCCACTAAGAAAGACGGAGAGAAAATCGAGAAGACTGATAGCATAACGGGTTCTGAACAAGAATTAAACTGTCTTTAGATAAGAGGCTGCCAACCTGCTGGGCAGGTGCACAGAACTCTGCCTTTCGTACATCCATGCAAGCCAGGAGCCTGCCCTTATAACCAGGCTGTGTTCCCAAACAGTGTTTATAAACTGATGGATGC